CGGCGAGCGATCGACGAGGACGTGCCGCACCGGGCCGTCGTTCTCGAACTGGCCGCTCAGCTTCCAGCTGGGGCACTCGGTTTGTTGCGGGGTTTCTGTCACGGGGTGGCTGCGGGGACAAAGGGGTTAGACGCTGAGACTTCGGTGGCCGTGTCGCACGCCACCTCAACGGGCACCGTGAGCATGTCGTACTCGGCAACGGTGGTCGGGAACTCGGGGGCCGGTTCGGGCGGGCCCGGCGGGGCTAGCAGGTCGGCCCAGGCGATGTCGCGGCGGGTGTTAACGCGGGCGGCGTACTCGGCGTAGTCGCGCCGGCCCGCTACGAGCGAAACCGCGGTGTGGGCGGCGGAAAGGCCGACGCACTCACACACGGTGTACGCGTCGGCTCCGGGGGCGTCGATGCGGACGACTTCGGACGCTTCACCGTGGGCCGGTTCGGCGCCCTGCGGCGCCAGCAGCAGTTGGAGTCGGCCGCTGGCGAATTCCGCGAGCAACGGCGTCTCGGCCGTCGCGTTGACATCCACGGGGCCCCCGGAGGAACGGGTCAGCAGCGCCTCGCGCACGCACTGGTGCGCCAGCCGGCGGATCGCGGACGCGATCTCACGCCGCCCGTCCTCGGTGAGCGAGAGCTGTCCAAATCGTTGGTCGGCGGCCGACCACTCTTCCTGCAGTCGCCCGTCCAGGGCCGTTGTCAGTCGGACCGGCGAGACCCCGGCGGCGTCCAGCGCGGCGTACGCCGCCGGCGTGTCCGAGGAAGCATTGTCGGCCATCGACTTGGCGATGCTGCCCGTGGCGGCCCGCACCTCGTTGAGTCGCTCGAGCACCTCCCGCAGTTCGGTCTTCAACCCTGCCGAGACGAGGGCCGCCGCCTCCAGCGCGGCGAGGTCCGCCTTGAGGTGCGCGAAGCGGGTCTCGATGGCGGGGCCATCGGCGTCTTTCGACGCGGCCTGCTGGGCGACGCTGACGATCTTCTGCTGGGTCGCGGCCGCGAACCGTTCGAAGCTGCCGGTCAGCGACTCGCAGTGGGAGTGGAGCCAGTCGGCCGCCTGCCGCGCGCCGCTGAGCCGATCGCCGGGGGTTTCCAGACGCTCGTAGACCCAGCGCGAGATCTCCGACTGCAGACCCGACGAGAGTTCGCGCACCAGGTCGACCACCGGGGTATCTCCGATGCGGTTGGGCGCCGTCGGGCCCAGCAGCGGGCGGTTGAGGTCGGGAGAGGGGGCGAAGTGGTCGTTGATTTGTTCGAGCCGGGCCAGCAGGTCGGTCTCGGTCGGCGCGGGGAGAGCCGCCGAGCTAACGTGCTGCTCGACCAACGCGCGGCAGCTCGTGGCGAGCTGCGCTGCGTCGAGCTTGAGGCGACCGACCAACTCGCCGGCGCCCATGACCACCCGGTTGGTGCTGGTCGCGTCCTGATCAGATTCTGCGGGCCGGCTTTCCCCCATCCAGTTGGAGAACAGCAGGCTGGTGAGCAGCTGCTCGGCGTCGCGGCGGGTGTCGGCGGGCGAGGCTTCGTGCCGCTGGGCGGAGAACGTCCGCAGCTGCCGCCGTCGGCTGTTCTGACCTCCATCCCCGCGGACCGCGTCCAGGCAGTGCTGGGCGGCCGATCCCGAATCGACCGCCAGGTAGTCGGCAACCCGTTTGCAGCCGGCGGCGAAACCGGACTCGTCGAGCCGGTCGCCCAGGTGAACAAGGTACGAGTGGTCAAACGGCGCCACGCCCACGTTGTGCGCGGGCAGCCCGGCGCCGTCGTCGCCCGGGTAGGCGTGCGCGCCGCTGCTGAAGTGCTCGTGCTCGGTGAGCCAAGAAAACGCGTTGACCCGCGCCAGCCCGGCCCGCTCGCCGTCCCGTCCGGTAGAGAACGTCGTGACACCGATCACTTGCGCGTCGGAAAGTTCCATGCGGTCGAGCAACGCCCGCACCGCGTAGGCGACGTCGATCGCCATGCCGCCGCCCGATCCGCCGCACGCAGAAGCGACTACATACACCCGCACCGCGTCGCGGCGGAAGGGCGTGCCGGTGGCCTGCTCGGACGCGTCGATGCTCTCGGCTGACAGGCAGTCAGACAGCGCACCGCGGATCCGCTGCAGCGTGCGACGCGCGTTGTCGACCAACGCCAGCCGGCCCAGCGGGCGGATGCCCTCCGTCTGCAGCGACTTGGGGATGTTGTACAGCCAACGCCTGCCGAGCCAACCCAGGATTTTGTCTGACTTCTCCCGGTACTCTTGCGGGCGTCGGAGCGACAGGCAGAGGGTCTCATCGCGTTGCAGCCCCGCGCCGCCATCCGCATTGCGTGCCGCCGACGACAGCGTGCGGGGGTCGGTGTCCAACAGCAGCATCGGCATGGCGGGGATGGGCCCGGTTAGCTCATGCTGCTCGCTGTGCTGCTGCCTCAGCTCGCGGAGCACGCCCGCCGCCGTTCCTCCGATTCCCAAGAAGAGAGTTGGGGTGGCGGCAAAGCCGGTCCGTTCGAACTCGGGGGCCGGGATGGGGTGTGGGCCGTCGCCGCTAAGGCTCGGCAGGCTCAGGCTCAGGTCCGACGAGTGGCGGACGGGGTCTTCTTGCCCGCAGATCTGCGTAGCGTGCGTCGGCGTCGCCGCGGTTTGCTCCACCGCACCGGGCGCCCGACGCGGTTCAACGCTGGTCGCCCCAAACGAGCCCGCGCCGGCCAATGCCTGGACGAACTCGACGCACGACTCGAAGCGGTGGTCGGGCGTCTTGGCGAGGGCGCGCGATACGGCGAACCGGTCGTCTGCCGGCAGCGGCGCGAGGTTGGGCTCGTCGTGCAGGTGCTGCAGCGTGAGCTCGGCGGCGTTCACGCCGTCAAACGGCGCGACGCCGGTCAACATCTGCTGGTACACCACCGCCAGGCTGTACTGGTCGCTCGAGCGGCACGGCGCGCCCTTGAACACCTCCGGCGGCGCGTACGCCGGCGTCATGCCACCTACCACTGACTGCGTTTGATCGTTGATCGACTTGACCAGCCCGAAGTCGGCCACCTTGGCGTGCCCGGCCAGCAGCAGGAGGTTCTCCGGCTTGATGTCCAGGTGCTGCAGGCCGTGCTTGATCGTCAGGTAGTCGAGCGCGTCCGCAGCGTCGCGTAGGTAGCCCAGCAGCTCGTCGCGGGGGATGCCTGGCAGCCCCTGCTGGACGCACTCGCGGAACCGGTCCCGCAGGCTCCCCTCGGCCAGCTCGCTGATAACCACCAGCCGGTTGTCGATGAACTCGACCCGCTCGAGCGACAGCACGAACGGGTGTCGCACCTCGCGGGTCCGCTCGAGCGCCTTGAGCTCGTGGGCGGCGCGCGACTCATCGTGCCGCCCGTGGATCAGCTTCACCGCCTTGGTTAGGCCGCCCGGCGCGCGGGCGCTCCAGACCTGGCCGTAGCCGCCGCTGCCGAGATGCTCGAGCAGCTCGTAGCCGGGCAGCCGGGGGGCGTCGGGGTGTGCGTCGGTGCTCACAGCGTCGGCTCCTCGGCTGGGGCCCGTGAGGCGTTGTCGCCGCAGGTGGCGAAGTAGCCGTTCACGGCGCGGTCCAGGTAGTCGGGGCGCAGCTCCATCGGCAGGCCGCGGTACACGCAGTAGTTCTTGACCTGGGTCAGCAGGTCACGCGCCTGGCAGCGGCGGAGCGGCCGGCCGAAGGGCCGGTAGTGCTTCTGAACCAGGTAGTCGACCGCCTCGGGCCGGTACTGGCAGCCGAGCGATTGGCAGGAGTGCTCGAACAGCTTGCGGAACTCGTCGAGGCTGGGGTCGCCGACCTCCACCTTGTACGGGATTCGGCGGAGGAACGCCTCGTCGGCTAGGTCCATCGGCTCGAGGTTGGTCGAGAAGATGATTAGCTGGTCGAACGGCACCTGGATCTTCTTGCCGCTGGCCAGGGTGAGGAAGTCGTGCCGGTTCTCCAGCGGCACGATCCAGCGGTTGAGCAGCTCGGTCGGCTCGCACCGCTGGCGGCCGAAGTCGTCGATCAGCAGGCAGCCGCAGTTGCTCTTGAGCTGCAGCGAGGCCTCGCTGATGTTGCTGACCGGGTCGTGGCGGATCTCCAACGCGTCGAGCTTCAGCTCGCCGCCCACCACCACGGTCGGCCGCTTGATCTTGATCCACCGCTGGTCCGAGGCGCCGCTCTTGAGCAGCGAGGCGTGGCTCTCGCCTACCGGCTCGTGGAACGCGGCGTCATAGAACTTGACGATCTGGCCGTCTTCGATGATCGCGTGTGGCACCCACACGTGGCTGCCGAAGCAACGGGTGATCCGCTTGGCGATGGTGGTCTTGCCGTTGCCCGGCGTGCCGTACAGGAACAGGCCGGCGCCGGAGTTCACGGCCGGGCCGAGCACCTCCAGCATCTGCGGCTCGACGCTGATGTCGCTGAACGCGTTAGCCAGCGAGTCCTCGCGGGCCGCTTCGGCGCGGATGGACTGCGCCTCGACCGACAGGATGTAGTCGTCAAGCGGCACCGGCGCGGGGCCGACGTACGAGTTGGACGCCATGGCCGCCTGCGCCCGGGCCACGCCCTGCTCGGTCAACGCGTACTGGTAGTCGCCCAGCTGGGCCTGCCCCTGGTGGAACAGCAGCTGGCGGCCCCGCAGGTCGGCGAACATCGGCTCGACCAATGCGAACGGCAGCGCAATGCTCTCGGCGATCTGCCGCCCAGCGGCCGACCCGACCTGCAGCAGGTACTTGCAGAGCAGCGACTCGATGAGCACGGGGCTCAGCCCCAGCTCGCCGATCGCTTGCGGCTCGGCTGGCAGGAACGTGTCGTCGCTGTTGAACAGGGTGTCCAGCAGGCCGCCGCCGATGACCTCTTCTGATTCGACTGTCGACATGAACGGTGGTTGGGGTTCGGTGGGCGCCGACGGCGCAGTACTCCACCGAACTCTAGGTCCCACACCGGCTGGCGCCGGGCGTCCGCGGAGCGCGGCGCGGCGCGCTCTACGCTGCTGACCGACCCAACCAGCGCCGCCGCGCGTCGTGGCCCCGGACAACCGGCGCCGCCGGCGCATCCGGTCACCACCAGCCCAGCAGCTTCCAGTATGGGAGCCCGACTCCGAGCCAGACGACTAGGTGCATCACCCCCACCAGAAAGCCGACCCAGAACCACTTGGGGGCCGACACGTACCCCAGCCCGAAGTAGATCACCACCGGGCCCGTCGAGTAGTTGGTGGTGCAGCCGCACAGGTTGGAGAAGTAGGCGATCAGCGCCACCATCAACAGCGGCGGCGCGCCCGCGGCCAGAGCGGTGGCGAAGAACACCCCAGCGAACGCCATAATGTGCCCCGTCAGCATGCTGAACGCGTACATCGACAGGAAGTAGACCACCGCCAGGGCTACCGCCAACGCCAGCGGCGGCATGCCGCTGACGTGCGCGCCGACCGACTCGGCAAACCAGGCGGTGAACCCCGTCTCGCGGAGCGCGTTGGCCATACTGATCAGCCCGCCGAGCCAGATCAACGCGTCCCACGCGCCCGGGTTGGAGGTCACTTCCCGCCACGAGTCGACGCCCAGCACCACGATGGCGGCCACGCCCAAGAGCGCCACCAGCGTGGTGTGCAATGAGAACCCGAAGGCCTTGCTTTGCAGCGGCGCCGTCATCCAGAGCGTCAGCATCGAGAGCAGGATCACCCCCATCACAATCTGCCGCGACGTCCAGGGGCCCATCTCAACCAGGTCCGCTCGGGCCTTCTGCCGGGCGGCGTCCGACGATCCCACCTCCGGCGTCGCAAGCAGGTAGAGCAGCGGCGGCAGCAGCGCCAGGCTGATCAGACCGGGTACGGCCGCCCCCAGCAGCCACTGCGGCCACGAGAGCCCGACGCCCTCGCCGAACACGTCGGCGGCGGCCTTATTGACCAGCGGGTTGGCCGCCATGCCGGTGAGGAACATGGCCGCCGTGACTAGGTTGGCGTGAGCGCCGCACAGCACCAGGTACTCTCCGGCCCGTTTGGGCCCCTCGTCCGGCGAGTCCGGGTCCGGCCGTGAGCCGAGCACGTGCGACAGCGAGTTCACGATCGGCGCCATCACCCCGCCGCCGCGGGCCGTGTTGGACGGGACAAACGGCGCGAGGACCAGCTCCGCCGCGCCCAGCGCGTACCCCAGCCCCAGCGTGGTGCGGCCGAACCGGACGACCATCGACAACGCCACCCGCCGGCCCAGCCCCGAGCGGATCATCGCCCCGGAGATCATAAACGCCGCGACGACCAGCCAGGTGGTGGTGTCGGCGAAGCCGGAGAGGGCCTGGTGGAGCGAGGTCTTGATCGCAGCGCTGTCCAGCGCTTGGCCCGGTCCGGCTGACTGCCCTTCTGCAGACGCGTGAAAGAAGTCCCCAGTGGCTGAGAGCGCCAGCAGCCCGATCAGCACGCAGGGCCCCATCGGCAGCGGCCGCATCAGAAAGCTCACAATAGTCGCCGTAAACACGGCGAAGATGTGCCAGGCCGGCGGCGTGAGTCCGTTCGGGACCGGGGAGAAGTAGATCGCTACCCCAACAGCAATACAGATCCACAGCCTGAACAGGTTGCGCGGTTCGGGTTGAGGAGAGGCCATAAGCGAGAATTCGCCGAAGGCGTTGGATGTCCCAAGCCCAGGGGGCGGCGCCGCCGCGCGCCCTGGGTGACGGCCCACGAGTATACCCGGTTACGCCGTCGGCGTTTCGTCAGTCCGGCAAGCGGGACTTGTGGGCCCACAGGCCGAGCGCCGGGTTCGGGATGTAGAACAGGCGTTCGCCGTTCACCTCGTTCCAGCCGAGCTTCAGGTTTTCGGGCGCGTAGCGCTCGGTCATCTCGGCAAGGTCGCCGTACTGGTAGCCGACGCCCTCGATCTCCTCCCGGCTGAGGTGACCGGGGCAGTAGGTGACCATGAAGCGGTTCTCGGGCGAGCCGTGGATCAGGTGAGCGGCGGCGGACAGGTTGCCCCGCAGGTCGTCGTTGTCGGCGACCAGCTGCTGGATCTCGGCCGACGGGCGGTAGCCATACTTGCGGATCAGGCGGTCGATCTCCGGGTCCTCGCCGAACATCCGCACGCCGGGCGCCAGCACGATCAGCTCGCCGCCGTCGGCGATCGCCATGCGGGTGCGGTAGATCGATTTGTTGCCGAGCCAGGTGCTGTGGAACTCGTGCGGGTCGAGCGACACCACCACCTTCTTGGGCGCCTCATCCAGGATGTCGAAGTTCACCTGCAGCGACAGCTCGGCCGCCTGCTCGAAGCAGTCGTGGTGGTCGCCGATGAACAGGCCGCGGATCTTGCCGTCGCCGACGATGGTCATCACGTAGACGATCGGGAGCCCGCCGCAGAACAGGTCCTGGGCGTGGTTCATGATCCGCCGCAGCGGGTTGTCCGCGCGGCCCATGATCCGCTCCATGCCGTAGGCGGCGCTGAGGTAGTGGCTCTCGTTGATCCCCCGCACGCCGCCGGCGCCGACAAAGATGTTCTTGTTGTAGTTGGCCATGCCGATCACCTCGTGCGGCACCACCTGGCCGATCGAGAGGATCAGGTCGTGCCCGCCGTTGGCGATCAGCTTGTTGGTCTGGGCGGGCCAGGCCTCGGTCCAGGCGCCCTCGGTCTGCTCCGCGACGTACTCGGCCGGCACCTCGCCCAGGGTGACGATGTCGTCCCGCCAGCGGTGCACCCGGATCAATTCCTTGGGCACCGTGGGGTACATGTCGGCCAGCTCGGCGTCGGTCATCGCCTTGTGCGTGCCGAGCGCCGGCATGACGTCGGTCAGCCGGTCGCCGAGCAGCTCGTGCAGCAGGCAGGTGATCGGCCCGGCCTGGCTGTGCGCGCGGGACAGGTCGGGCGGCACGGCCATCACGCGGCGGCGGTCGCCGAGCTGGTCGAGCGCCGACACGAGCGCCCCGCGCAGGTCTTCGGTCTGGAGGTCGGCGTCCGGCGCGCCGGCGGCGTAGAAGAGCGTCATCGATCGATCCGAAAAGGCGTAGCGTCCATGGACGGCGGTTGGCCGAGCATCATCTCTCGGATCAGCATCGCAGTCGCGCTGGCGAATTGCAAACCCGCCCGGTAGTGCCCCGCCGCAATGTACACGCGATCCGACGCAGGACCGATCAGCGGCAGCTCGTCGGGCGTCGCGGGACGCAGGCCGGCCCAGCAACGCACCAGCCGCAGCCCGCCCAGGCCGCTGGACCGCACAAAGTCCAGCAGCGTCGCGCAGCCCTCGGCGGTGTTCGACTTGTCGAACGCGGCCTCCTCGACGGTCGCGCCGGCGAGCACCCGGCCGTCCCGCCGGGGGGCGACGTAGAGCGAGTCGACGTGCAGGTTGTTGGCGAGGGCGTGGTCGCCTTCCAGCAACAGCATCTGACCACGCACCGGCCGCACGTGCGCGGCGGCGCCCGCGGCCGGCAGGAACCGCGACGCCCACGCGCCGCTGGCGATGACCGCCCTGCCCGCGTTGATCACTGCGCCCGACGCCAGGCGGAGGGTCACCTGCTGGGGCGCCTCGTCGACCGAAGCCACCTCGTCGTGCTCGATGAGCCGCCCGCCCCAGGACTCGCACAGCGCGACGAGCGCCCGCAGCCGCCGCGGGTTGCGGGCCTGGGCCTCGGCGGGCACGTGGAACGCCTGCCCGGCGGCGGTCAGTTGTTTCAGTGGGTCCGACGCGTACGGCGCGAGTTCGGCGAGGTCGGCCTCGCCCACCTCGTCGACGCGGATGTCGCGGGACCGCCAGCGGGCGAACAGGTCGCCGAACTTGCGCTGCTGTTCGGGCGTGCTGGCGAAGTAGACCGCGCCGCACCGCCAGAAGCCGTCGTCCAGGCTGGTGAGTTCGCGCAGCCGCTGCGACAGTTCGGCGTTGAGCCGCAGCGAGTGCGCGGCCAGCTCCTCCAGCGCCGGGTGATCGGAGTAACGCGACCCCGGCGGCAGGATGCCGGCGCCCGCCCACGACGCCTCGCGGCCGGCGGACTGGCGGTCGACCACCGTGACGCTGAGCCCGCGTGAGAGCAGCTCCTCGGCGATCGTCAGCCCAATAATGCCGGCGCCAACAACAGCGACATCGCAGCTCTGGGGGCGCGCGGGCACTTGGGGTCAGCCTTTGGCGATCAGCTCCAGGCAGGTCTGGCGGAACTTGCCGGGGTCGATGTTGGGGTTCTTCTTCTTCGCCTGGCCGATCAGGGCGCCGATCGCCTGCTGCTTGCCGCCCTGCACGTCGGCCACGACCTTCGGGTTGGCGGCGAGCAGCTCCTGGCAGAGCGCGTCGATCTCCGAGTCGTCGACCTGGGTGATGCCGAGCGACTCCATCGCGGCGTCGGCGTCGGCGCCCGAGTCGAGCATCGCGTCGAACACCTCCCGCGCGCGGGAGCTCGGCAGGTCGCCCGCGGAGACCTTCTTCACGAAGCCGGCCAGGCGGTCGGCCGGGATCGCGAACTGCTCGATGCCGATCTCTTGGTGCTTGAGCGTGCGGAGCACGTCCTGCGTGAGCCAGTTGGCCGCCAGCTTGTTGTCGCCGGACTGGTCCGCCACGGTCAGGTAGTAGTCGACCGTGGGCCGGCCCTGGTTGACGATGACGTCGGCGTCGTAGAGCGACAGGCCGTAGTCCGCGACCAGCCGCTGGCGGATCGCGGCGGGCAGCTCGATCAGCCGCTCGCGGACCTTGTCGACCTCGGCCGAGGTGATCGCCACCGGCGCCAGGTCGGGGTCGGGGAAGTAGCGGTAGTCGCTCGACTCTTCTTTGCTCCGTTGGGCGCGGGTCACGCCGGCGGCGTCGTCCCAGCCGCGGGTCTGCTTGGGCGATTGGCCGAGCCGCCGGCCGGTTTCCTTCCACTCGCGGTGCTGGCGATCGGCCTCGTACTCGATGGCCCGCTCCACCGCGCGGAAGCTGTTCATGTTCTTGATCTCGACGATCGGCGTGGCGAACTTGCCGTCCTTGGCGTCGGGGTCGTCGGAGGGGATGTGAAGGTTGACGTTGGCGTCCACCCGCAGGCTGCCCTCCTGCATGTTGCAGTCCGATACGCCCAGGTAGGTGAGCAGCAGCCGCAGCTCGGTCAGGTAGGCCTTGGCCTCGGCGGCGCTGCGGAGGTCGGGCTCGCTGACAATCTCCAAGAGCGGCGTGCCGGTGCGGTTGAGGTCGATGAGCGTGTCGCCCTTGCCGGCCGCCTCGTCGTGCAGGCTCTTGCCCGCGTCCTCTTCCAGGTGGGCGCGGAGGATGCGGACTTTCTTCGGCTCGAAGGCGCCCTTGGGGTCCTCGATCTCCAGCCAGCCGTCGTGCGTGATCGGCAGGTCGTACTGGCTGATCTGGTAGCCCTTGGGCAGGTCGGGGTAGAAGTACTGCTTGCGGTCCCACTTGGTGAAGCCGGCGATCTGCAGGTTGAGCGCCAGGCCGGTCTCGATGGCGAGGGCGACCGCTTCTTCGTTCATCACCGGCAGCGAGCCCGGCATGCCGATGCAGACCGGGCAGGTCTGCGTGTTGGGCTCGGCGCCGTAGGCCGTGCTGCAGCCGCAGAACAGCTTGCTCTTGGTGGCGAGCTGCACGTGGACTTCCAGGCCGATGACAGTGGTGTACATGGGGAAGCGGTTGGAGATTGGCGGTTGGAAGTTGGCGGTGTCGCTCTGTATTCCTGGCTGCAAGCCCTTCTAGCCCACCCCGCCCGGGGTGGGGCAACTCACAGTTCACATCGCTTGGTTTCCCAGGCCCCGCTCTGCTCGAACATCCGCGCGGCGCGCAGCAGGCGGGCCTCTTCCAGCGGCGGGGCGTGCAGCTGCAGGCCGATCGGCAGGCCCGACTTGCTCTGGCCGCACGGTAGGCTCATCGCCGGCAGACCCGCCAGGTTGGCGCTGACGGTGTACAGGTCCAGCAGGTACATGCCGAGCGGGTTGTCGTCGAATTGGCCAAGCTCGGGGGCGGGGGCGGCGGTGGTGGGGCCGATGATCAGGTCGACCTTCTCGAACGCCTGGTCGAAGTCCTGGCGGATCAGCCGCCGCACCTTGAGCGCCTTGAGGTAGTAGGCGTCGTAGTAGCCGGCGCTGAGGGCGTAAGCGCCGAGCATGATGCGGCGTTTGACCTCCGGGCCAATCGCCTCCGAGCGGCTCTGGCGGTACATCCGCACCAGGGCGGTGTCGATGTCGTCCAGGGCCTGCTCATCGCCGGCCTCCTGGGCCGCTTTGCGGTCGGCCTGCAGCTGTGCGAGCATCGCCCGTTCTTCGGTGCGGTAGCCGTAGTGGGCGCCGTCATAGCGGGCCAGGTTGCTGGACGCTTCGCACGGGGCGATGACGTAGTAGGTCGCCACGGCGTGCTTGCTGTGCGGCAGCGACAGCTCGACAATCTCGGCGCCCTGCCCTTCGTACGCGGCGATGGCGGCGCGGACGGCGCTCTCGACCTCGGGGTCGAGACCCTTGCCGAAGTGCTCGGTCACCACGCCCAGGCGGAGCCCGTCGAGCGGCTTGTCGATGTCTTGAAGGTAGTTCGGCTTGGCGACGTCCAGCGAGGTGGAGTCCCGCTCGCAGTGCCCCGCGATCGCGTCCAGCAGCAACGCGGCATCGGTCACGCTGCCGGCGATCGGGCCGACCTGGTCGAGGCTGCTGGCGAACGCCACGAGCCCGAACCGGCTGACCCGGCCGTAGGTCGGCTTCATGCCCACCACGCCGCAGAACGCCGAGGGCTGCCGGATGGAGCCGCCGGTGTCGGTGCCGATCGACAGCGGCGCCATGCCGGCGGCAACGCAAGCCGCGGCGCCGCCGCTCGAACCGCCGGGCGAACGCTTCAGGTCCCACGGGTTGCGGGTCGGCTGGAACGCCGAGTTCTCGGTCGAGCCGCCCATGGCGAACTCGTCCATATTGGTGCGGCCCAGCAGCACCGCGTCGGCCTCGCGCAGCTTGGCGACCACGGTGGAGTCGTACGGCGGGCGGAAGTTCTCCAGCATCCGCGACGCGCAGGTGGTCGGCTCGCCCTGCTGGCACAGCAGGTCCTTCACGGCGACCGGCAGGCCGGCCAGCGGGCCGAGCGTCTCGCCGGCTGCGCGGCGTTTGTCGATCGCGTCCGCCTGCGCCAGTGCGGCGTCGGCGTCGACCCGCAGGAACGCGCCGACCTGGGCGTCGTGGGACTCGATGCGGTCCAGGCAGGCCTGGGTGATCTCGCGGGAGGAGGTCTCGCCCGCGCCTAGCTGCCCGAGCAATTCGGCGGCGGATGATTCAACGAGGGTCATGCCCGGCGGAGGGTTGGTGTCTGAAAGAGGCCTGGAGGCGGCGGCGGGCCCGGCGGTGCGGCTGAATTGTTGCGTGGGGAGGGCCAACTCGCGGGTCAGTCGCCCAGCACCGCCGGCACCAGGTACCCGACGCCCGAGTGCTTGGGGGCGTTGGCCAGCGCCTGGTCGCGGGGCAGGCTGTCGCGCACCACGTCGGGGCGGAGCACGTTGTGCACCTCCACGGCGTGCGCCATCGGCTCGACGCCCTCGGTGTCCACCTCCGAGAGGTGGTCAACGTAGGTGACGATGTCGTTTAGCTGGTGCGTCATCTGCTGCGCCTCGTCCTCGGTCAGGGTCAACCGGGCGAGCAGCGCAACCTTTTCGACGTCGGCGCGTGAAATCGACATCCGCGGTCTCAGCTATTGGGTGGCCGGACGCGAAGCTACTTGCTGGGCACCACAAACGGCGCCTGGCGGACGACCTTCTTGACCGCGCCGTTGCGGATGCACTGCACGCACACCAGCGCGTGGCGGTTCTGGCCGTCCGCGCCGGTCACCTTGACCCGCTGCAGGTTGGGCTTGAACTTGCGGCGGGTGATGCCGGTGATCTTGGTGCCGACGCCGCCCAGGTACTTCTTCTTACCGCGGGTCGTGACCTGGTTGCCCATCTGGGCCTGCTTCTCACAGATTTCGCACTGGCGAGCCATCTGCTCCGCTCCTCTGATTTATCGCGTCTGAGAACGAACCTTCATCCGGCGCCTGGAACAGCAAAACGGAGCACGAAGGCAAGTCAGATCTCAGCCGACTCGGGTCTAACTCGTGTGTGTCGCTTTGCTTCGGGCGATCCGAAGTCCGCCAATATAGCCAATTCTGCGGAAGCCACAATGGCGAGCCGGCTTGCGGCGATCGGCCGCGCCGGCCCGGTCGAGCGACCGCTCGGCAACTCGCTACTTTTGTCCGCTCCTGCGCAATCGATCCTTAGGGACAAAAGTCGGGCCCCACGGGAGGCCCCCCGGATGGTTTCACGCTTGTATAGCAGCGTTTGGCGGTTGGCTCGGCGGTTTTGCTCGCCGACTCTTGTCCGCTCTAACACGCCATTAGGGACAAAAGGGGACAAAACTCCGAGCCTCCAGGTGGACCCAGACGGTATCGGTACTGGACCAGTGCACCGCGTATTAGACCGCGCTGGGTGGCCGGTTTCAGCAACAAAGCGCGTCTCGCCGCCCGATTATGCGGGCCTACTTGCCCCGCGTGTAGCGGAGCACCTGCTCGGTGATCTGGCCGTTCGTGGCGACGCCGTCGCCCGTGTGTACGGTCGGAACCCCCTGCCAGTCGCAGAACACGCCGCCGGCCTCTTCGATGACCGGTTTCAGGGCGGCCGCGTCCCACAGGCTGAGCTTGGGGTCGATCATCACCTCGGCCCGGCCGGTGGCCACCATCAGGTAGCCGTAGGCGTCGCCCCAGGTGCGGTTCAGCCGGCAGGCGTGCATCAGGTCGAGGTAGGCGTCGAGCGCCTCGGGCGTGCGTTCCCTGGCGATGGCCGCCACGTCGGTGGTCAGCAGGAGCGACTCGCTGAGCGACTTGGTCGACGAAACCTGGGTGCGGACCGGCTCTTCGTCGCCGCTGCGGTACCAGCAGCCGCCGCCGGTGGCGGCGTAGGCGGTCTCGTCGGTCGCGGGCGAGTGGATGACGCCGATCAGGGGCTCTTCGGCGGTCTCCCGCGGCTGGCCCGGCGGGGTGTAGGTCACCGCGACTAGGGTGGTGTAGAGCGGCGACCCGTGGATAAACGACTTGGTGCCGTCGATCGGGTCGAGGATCCAGCGGTACGGGGAGTCGCCGGGCGTCTCGCCGAACTCCTCACCGAGGATGCCGTCGTCGGGGTAGGCGTCGGCGATCCGCTCGCGGAGCAGCGTCTCGGACGCGCGGTCGGCCGCCGTGACGGGCGAGCTGTCGTCCTTGCGGTCGACTTGTAAGTCTTTTTTACGAAATAGTTTAAGCGTTTCGGTGCCCGCTTCCAGGGCGATGGCAACCGCGGTCGCGAGGCGGCGGGCGGTTTCGGGCGAATCGGCGGTCGGGCTGCTCATGCCGCCCAGCCTAGCGGGCGGCGCCCACACCGCAAGCGGGCGGTCTGGCTGCCGAGCGGGGTAGCGGCTAGATTCCGGGCCTCCGCTGGGCCGGGATGCGCGCGTGGCGCGGTTTGCACGGTTCGCCTCAACTGCCTGGCGGTAGAGGATTTAGCTTGAATCGGTTGGGCGCCCTTTTAGAATGAGGTTACGCCTGTCGGTTCTTACTGGACTCGTTCTACGGCCCCCCAGCGGGTGGGTCGTGGCCAACCCGAGGAGCCGACAAGATGACCGGAACAGTCCGTGTGCTGCTGATCGCCATCCCCTGCCTGCTTGCAGTCGCGTGGGGCAGCGAATGGCTGAGCGCCCAATCTCCCGCCGCCGGGCAGCCAATCGCTGCTGGCCAGGGAGCCGCTGGGCAGTTCGGCGCGGCGCCGGCGCCGGCGCCCGGCTTGGTCACGCACGTGATCCAGCAGGAGGGCCGGCCGCACACGGTTGTCGTGGCGGACACCAAGCGTGCGGTGTTGGCTGTTTATCACATCGACCCGCACAGTGGTAAGCTGGCCCTGAAGAGCGTGAGGAACGTGACTTGGGACCTGCAGATGCCGCAGTACGACACTGAGCTGCCGCTGCCTGAGGAAGTGCGTAGTGGGCTTAAGAGTTTAGGAACTCAATGAGAACCGACGCCGACGCGGAGGAGCCGCGGTGGCGTCTGGAGCCTCGCCCTAGGGTGGGGGACGACACAACGCCATGGCCAACAAGTTCATCGGACTCGACGACGCCGCGACGCAGCTCGGGATCAGCAAGGACAAGCTCAACGAGATCCGCGAGTCGGGCGCCGTCCGCGCCTACCGCGACGGCGTGAGCTGGAAGTTCCGCACCGAAGAGATCGACTCGCTCGGCGAGGACATCAAGAGCGGCAACCTCCCGTCGGGCATCGACCTTGGCGAATCGATCTCGCTGGAGAGCGACGAGAGCACCGGCCTCAGCTCGCTGAGCCTGGCGCCGGCCAGCGACCTGGACGTCGAGGTCACCGAAGAGCCGGCCAAGAAGGAGGAGCCCTCGGCCGGGGCCTCCGACCTGGACCTGGAGATGCTCGACGAGCCGACCGTGGCCGCCGAAGCGGACGACGACAACGAATCCATCCTGCTGAGCGAAGACGAGCTGGGCGACTCGCCCGACCGCCCGCCCAGCACCATCATCGGCCGCTCGCAGCTCCGCGACGAGCCTTCCGACGACGACCTGCTGCTGGCCAGCCCCGACAACGCCGCCGGCATGAGCGACGTCCGCCTGGCCGATGACGAGGACGTCGACGACCTGCTGGGCGCCGCCAAGTCGGCCGCCGCCAGCAAGTTTGAGGACCTGGAGGAGCTGGAGTTCGACCTCGAGGCCGAGTCGAGCCGCATCCTCGAGGCGCAGGACGTCGCGGCCGCGCAGGCCGCCGCCAGCAAAGCCAAGCAGGAGAAAGAGGCCGCCGCCGACCCGTCCGGGCTCGGCAGCTCGCTGGAGCTGGCCTCCGACGACGCCGGGTCCAAAGCCGGCGACACCGGCGTGCACGAGGCCAAGTCGGGCCAGTCGAGCGCGTTCTCGCTGGCTTCCGACGAGGACGATGAGCTCGAGCTCGACCTCGCCGCCTCTGACGCTGGCCTGCAGCCCGACGGGTCCGACGACCTGGTGCTCGATTCCTCGGACGACGACATCTCGCTCTCCGGCGGCGACAGCGGCATCAACCTCAAGCCGTCCGACAGCGGCCTGGCCCTGGACGACGAGTCCTTCGCGCTGGGCGGTTCGGCGATCGGCTCCTCGCTCGACCTGGGCGACTCGCTGGCCAGCAGCGGCGACTCGCTCGCCATCGGCAGCAGCGCTTCGGAGGTCTCGCTGGAGGGCTCGACCGCGTTCGCCTCGAGCCCCGACTTCAACCTTCAGCCCTCGGACGACGGCGACGACGAGGACGAGGACGACAGCTCGCAGATCATCGCGCTGGACGCGGTGGAAGAGCCCGGCGACGAGGACGACGAGGTCGCCCTGACCGACGCCTCGGCCGTCGTGGTGGGGGTGCCCGGCGCCCAGGCATCGCCGGTCATCGCCCAAGAGGCGGTCTTCCCGATGTGGATTGTCGCGTTCCTCGGGCTCAGCGCCATGCTGATGGCGGTCTCGGCCATCATGGCGGCCGACCTGCTCCGCAGCATGTGGGCGGCGGAGGAGTCGCTCACGCTGCAGAGCCCGCTGATCCAGGGCTTCCTCGGGCTGATCGGCCTGAACAACTAGCGACCTCGGCGACACGCCGGGCCGCCGCAGCCCCTCTCTGTGGGGGCGGTGCGACAATAGGACGCGGCCGGATGCGCCTAGCAGCCGCTGGCGGCAAGCTCGTATAATTGCCGATCTAGCACCCGTGGCGCTGCCTCCCAAAGGGCGCCCGCCGCTGTTCACGCCCTCCGATTCCGCGAGATCGATGATCCGTCCCGCCCTGCCCTCGCCCGCGGCGTTGCTGCCGCTGGCGCTGCTCGTTGTTGCTATCGGCTGCCGGCCGGCGGACGAGATCCGCACCTACACGGTCCCCAAAGACCTGTCGGCGGCCGCTCCGCCCGCCGCGGCCCAACCGCAGTCGGCCCAGCCCGCCGTGCCCAGCCGGATGATCGCTGCGATGGTTGCCGGCGATCAGCGGGCCTGGTTCTTCAAGGCAATGGGCCCCAGCGAACAGGTCGACGCCGTGGCGGACGACGTGCACGCGTTCCTCAACACAATCCGTTACGAGGACGGCCGCCCGACTTGGGAGACACCCGACAGCTGGACCGAGCAGCCCAGCTCCGGCATGCGGCTGTCGACGCTGCTGATCCCGGCCGGCGAGCAGCCCCTGGAGCTGTCGGTCATCGGCCTCGCGCTGCCCGACGACTGGGACGCCGGCGTGCTGGACAACGTGAACCGCTGGCGGGGCCAGCTGAGCCTCGACCCGCTGGCGGCCGACAGCCGCGACGGGATCGAGCCGCTCGAGTCAGCGGGCCGCGAGGCCGTGGTCGTTGACCTGGTCGGCGAAGCGAACGCCGCCGCGATGATGCCCCCGATGGCCGGCGGGATGATGTCGCCGCCGCCCCGGGCCTCGGCGACGCCGCCGGCGACCAATCCCCACCCGCCGCAGCCGCGGCCGCTGACGTACAAGCTGCCCGACGGCTGGCGCGAGCTGCCGCCCACAAGCATGCGGGTGGTGAACGTCCGCGTTGGTGAAGGGGACGCCGAGGCGGTCGTGACCGCTATGCCGTTCCCGTCCTCGGCGCCGGAGATCGCCGACCCGCTGGCCAACGCCAACCGCTGGCTGGGCGAGAACGGCATGCCGCCGGTCGACCCAGACGCGTTGGGCGAGGTGACGGAAGAAATGAAGATCGCCGGCGCCGACGGCGTCTACTTCGAGATGCTCTCCGACGATCACGAGGACAACACGCTGGCCGCGATGGTCGAGCGGGGCCCGATGGTCTGGTTCTTCAAGCTCCGCGGCCCCGCCGCCACCGTCGGCGCCAACCGCGACGCGTTCCGCGCTTGGGTCGACAGCCTGCGATTCAACGTTCCTTAAGGAGGCCCTATGGCCACTGGCGAGATTGTCCGCGATGAGCCCGCCACGCAGGACCCCGCGCCCGCTCGGCCCCGCCCCGCCGCCCCGGCGAAGTCGTTCTGGATGACGCTGCTGGAGGGGCTGGCCTCGCTCGGGCTGACGGTCACGCTGTTCGCGCTGCTGATCTTCCTGATCTTCATGGGCACGCTGGCCCAGAAGGACCAGGGCGTGTGGCAGGTGGTGGAGCAGACCTACTTCCGCGTGTGGTTCGCCTGGATCGACTTCCAGGCGTTCGCGCGGCTGATCGAGCTGTGGACCAAGACCCCCATCAACAACGTGCCGGGCGGGTTCTGGTTCCCGGGCGGCACGCTGCTCGGCATCCTGCTGGGGGTCAACCTGCTGGCCGCGCACTCGCTCCGGTTCCGCGTGGTCGCCCACGGCCCGCGGCTGCTGGCGGGCGTGGTGGTGACCGCCATCGGCGTCGGTCTGGGCGCGGCGTTGGTGCTGGCCGATCAGCGCGGCGCGGTAGAGGGCGTGTTCACCACCGGCGTGCAGAGCCTGCTGTGGCACGCGCTGCGTGCGTCGGTCGCGGGCGTGGCGCTGTTGTGCGGCTACCTGTTCGCGGTGAGCAAGAAGCCGGCCCTCGCGCCCGAGCGGGCGCTGGCCGCCGCGGTGGCGGTGGTCACCGGCGTCACGGCGGTCTGGCTCTACGCCAACCCGGCCGTGCAGCTCAACCCGTCCGGCCTGCGGATCCTGTGGCTCTTGGCGCTCTGCATGGCCGTGTCGCTGGTCTGCAACGCCGGCTGCCTGCTGCTGTTCAAGAAGCGGAGCGGCATCGTGCTGCTGCACGCGGGCGTGCTGCTGTTAATGGTCGGCGAGCTGATCGTCGGCCTGGCCGCCGACGAGGGGCAGATGACCATCACCGAGGGCGCCTCGTCCAATTACGCGGTCGACATCCGCACCTCCGAGCTGGCCGTGGTCGACTCTTCCAACCCGGACGAGGACGTGGTGACCGTCGTGCCGCAGCGGTACCTGGCCGGCGACGAGGTGATCGCGGCCGAGGGGCTGCCCTTCAAGGTCAAACCGCTGGAGTTCCTGCCGAACTCGTTCCTGGTTCCCCCCAACGCCGGCACGGCGAACCCGTCGACCGAGGGCGCGGGCCTGTCGATCAGCGCGGCCCAGACCAAGCAGGTTGCCGGCGTGGACACCAAGCAGGGGATCGACATGCCGTCGGTCTACGCGGAGCTGCTCGACCCCGAAACGGACGAGTCGCTCGGCGTGTACCTGTTCTCGGCCTCGGTCGATCGCGACCAACGCGCGCTCAATCCGCAGCCGGTCGAGGTCGACGGCAAGACCTACAACGTCGCGCTCCGCTTCAAGCGGCAGTACAAGCCTTACAGCGTGGAGCTGGTCGACTTCCGGTTCGACAGGTTCATCGGCACCAGCACCGCCAAGAACTACTCGGCGGACGTGATCATCCACGATGCCGCGCGGAGCGTTGACCGCGAGGCGCACATCTCGATGAACAACCCGACCCGCCACGCGGGCGACACCCTCTACCAGTCGAGCTTCGACCCCGAGACCGAACAGACCACCGTCCTGCAGGTGGTGACCAACACCGGCCGGCTGATCCCGTACCTGTCGTGCGTGATGGTCGGGCTGGGGCTGTTCACCCACTTCGGACAGACGCTGCTGCGGTTCTTCGACCGCCGCGAACGCGAAGTCGCGAAGACCGACGCCGACACCCCGGCGCCGCTTCGCGCAGGGGACGCGTGGACGTCGCCGCAGGTGGTCGTGCCTGTCGCCGCCGCTGTGCTGCTGGCCGGCTACGTGCTCAGCAAGGCCCGCACCGACGAGGCCGCGGTCGACGAGATGCCGGTCGGCCGCTTCGGCGCGCTGGCCATGGTCGACGGCGGCCGCGTCAAGCCGTACGACACCTACGCCCGCACGGTGCTGCAGCGGATCTCCAACCGCCAAGAGATCAACCTCAAGCCGCTCGGCCAGGAGGACCGCCCCGCCTGCGCCGACGGGCTGGACAAGGTCCCCGCCGAGAAGTGGATGCTGGACGTGATCTCCGGCCGCGAGGGCGCGGGCGACTACCGCGTGTTCCGCATCGACAACCTGGACCTCCTAGCCGCGCTCGGCCTGGAGCCCCGCACCGGCTCGTTCCGGTACAGCCTCAACGAAGTCCTCGAGCGCAAGGCGAAGCCCGTGGAGGGCGAAGGCGATGCGATCCAGACTCCCGAGTTCAACCGCCAGGTCGACCTCGCAGCGCCCGTGCCGACGGAGGAGCGCAGCCTGTTCCAGTCTCGTGTGATCGCCCTGGCCGAGAACATCAGCCGCTACCGCGTGATGGACGGCGCGTTCCGGTCGTTCGGGATCCTGGGCGTGGAGAGCTTCCCGGAGGGCTTCGCGCAGCAGGTCGCCGAGGCGGCGATGAGCCTCCGCCGCGCCGAGGCGCCGCTGCCGGTCCCGCCGCAGCGGGTCGAGGACACCTGGAAGACCGTCATCGACGCCGAGATCGAGTCGTTCCTCAGGCAGCGGGAGGGCGCCAAGCCCAACCCGGCGGTGGTCGCGCTGCTCGGGGCGATCGACGCCTACCGCACGCAGGACCTGCGCGGCTTCTCGGAGAGCCTCGACACGCTCGAGACCCAGTACGCCAAGTACCAGAAGCAGCTCAACTCGCCCCTCAACGCCGAAGCGGTCGCGCAGCTCAAGCCGGCCGAGCGGCTCGACCTGGAGAAGGCGGGTTTCGAACAGTGGTTCAACCAGTTCAGCCCGTTCACGCTGGCGGCCGTGCTGTACGTGGTCGCGTTCTTGTGCGCCGTGTTCTCCTGGGTGGCCGCTCCGCGGGTGCTGGGCCGCACGGCGATGGCGATCGTCGCCGTGACGCTGGTGCTGCACACGTTCGCCATCGTGGGCCGGCTGTACATCTCCGGCCGGCCGCCGGTGACCAACCTCTACTCCTCGGCGGTGTTCATCGGCTGGGCGATGGTCGTGTTCGGCCTGATCATCGACGGCGTGTACCGCGTGGGCGTCGGCACGGCGCTCGGCGCCGCGGCCGGCTTCCTCACGATGCTGATCGCGTACTTCCTCGGCCAGGACGGCGACACCTTCACCGTCATGCAGGCGGTGCTGGACACGCAGTTCTGGCTCGCCACCCACGTGGTGTGCATCACGCTGGGGTACGGGGCGACCTTCATGGCCGGCGCGGTCGCGCTGGCGTACCTGGCCTACCGCAATCCGACGCTGTTCTGCGGCGTGCTGGCGGCGGCGGTGCTGGTGCTGATGCCGATCCTCGGCGTCGGCCTCGCCAACGGCAAGGGCGTCGCGATGCTCGCTACGGCGGCGGGGCTGGTCGTGTTCGCGGTGCTGTTCGCGGCCCGACCCCGCGACGCGGTCGACGGCACGGTCGAGCGGCTCCTGACCCGCATCACCTACGGCGTGCTCTGCTTCGCGTTGTTCTTCAGCTTCATCGGCACCGTGCTGGGCGGCCTGTGGGCCGACGACTCGTGGGGCCGCTTCTGGGGCTGGGACCCGAAGGAGAACGGCGCGATGATCATCGTGCTGTGGAACGCCCTGATCCTGCACGCCCGCTGGGGCGCGATGATCACCCCCCGCGGTTTCGCCGCGCTGGCCGTGCTGGGCAACATCGTCACGACCTGGAGCTGGTTTGGCACCAACGAGCTGGGCGTCGGCCTGCACGCGTACGGCGGCGTGAGTGACGAGATGTCCCTCGGGCTGGGCATCATGACCACGGCGATCATCACCCAGATCCCGCTGCTGCCGCTGGCGAGCCTGCCGCGGGACGCATGGCGGGTATGGGCGGGCGGCGGACGGCCCGCCTCGGCGTAGGTTGGCGGGCGTCGCGGCGGGCTAACCGTCCGCGAGCCCGGCCAGCGCCGCGGTCGAGGCGTAGTCGCCCAGCGCGGTTGTGGCGCCGAGCCCCGTGACGCACCTGGCGCCGCACGCCGCGGCCAGCCGACCGGCTTCGTCTACCGGCATCCCCTTGAGCAGCCCGCACAGCAGGCCGCCCAGAAAGCTGTCGCCCGCGCCGGTGGTGTCGATCACCGCGCCGGGCGGATTGACCGGGGGGACCTCGATCAGCTCGCCGCTCCGCGGGCTCAGCACAGCGCCCTCGGCGCCGAGCTTCACGCCGATCAGTCCTCTGGCGCCGGCGTCACGCAGCGCCACCAGGATCCGCGATGGGTCTTCCTCGCCGGTCTGGTGGCGGGCCTCGCTGAGGCTGGGCACGTACACGTCGAGCGACCGCAGCGTCGGCGCTAGCTCCGCGAGCGTGCCGCCGTCGCCGGCGGCGTCCAGCGCGGTCAGGCTGCCCAGGCGCTGCAGCCACGCCATCAGCTCCGGCAGGTCGGCCAGCAGTCGCGGCAGCAGCGGGAAGTAGCCCAGCAGCACCGCGCGGCTGCTGGCGAACAGGTCTTGGTTGGCGGTGAACGCCGCGCGGTCCAGCCGCTTCGGGGCGCCGACCGCGTGGAGGAAGCTCCGCTCGCCGGCCGGGTCGATCAGCGCGACCGTGGTGCTGGTCGGCGCGTCGGGGTGGGTCATCAGGCGGCCGGGGTCCAGGCCCTCCGCCGCGTAGCGGGACCTCACCAGCCGGCCCCACTCGTCGTCGCCGACGTAGGTGAACGCCGCGGCCCGCATGCCGAGCCTGGCCAGCGTGACCCCCGCGTTCGAGACGATGCCGCCGGTCGCCAGCACGGGCGGCTCGGTCCGCACCAGCTGCCCCGCGCCGATCGGCCGGTCCAGCTCAACGGGGCGGACCAGCACGTCCAGCACGCAGGAGCCGCAAACGACGACATCGAGGGTCTTTTCCACCGCCCGCCTCCCGCCAGAGGTCCGAGGCCCGCCGCCGCCGACTAGATCGCCTCGGGGCCCCGCTCGCCGGTGCGGATGCGGACGCAGTCGTCCATCGGCAGCACAAATATCTTCCCGTCGCCGATCTCGCCGTGCTCGCCGGTGCGGCCCCCCTTGAGGATCGCGCTGACGGTCGGCTCGACGAAGTCGTCGTTCACGGCGATCTGCAGCTGCACCTTGCGGAGCAGGTTCATCGAGACCTCCTTGCCGCGGTACAGCTCGGTCTGGCCCTTCTGCCGCCCAAACCCCTGCACGTCCATGATGGTCAGCCGCACGACCTCCACCTCGGACAACGCCGCCTTAACGTCCTCCAACTTGGTGGGCTGGATGATCGCGATGATGAGTTTCATGTGCCGCAGGTGGAAGTCAGAAGGAAAGGAGCAGCGTCCGGGAAACCACGCAAACCCCCATCATAGTCCGACACCCCCCGGATGCGACAGGCCGGGCGCCGCCCTGGCAAACCAGCGCCGAGCGCCCTCCAACCAGCGCCCGTTAAGGACACCCCGGCTTGGGCAGGTTAGGCGGAAAACCCACCCAAGCCACTCGGGGCATCCTTCTGGATTGGTCTCGGCGGACGGCCGCCGGTGGGGCGCGGCGTTGGGACGCGGACGGGGATCGGCAGCGCTTCCGGCGCCGGCAGGAGGAGCCGCGCCGTTAGTCCGCGGATCCGCAGCAGGCCGTTCCGGAGGGCCCGCCGCGCGGAGGCGTGTAGAGATGGCATAGCCAGTCCGCCACGGGGCTACCCGCGGCCAAAAAAATAGTCCCACCAACTCGGGCGAGCCAGGCGGACAACCCGCCCGAGTTGGTAGGGACACTCGGTTGGACTCTTGAATGTTTCAAGCACAAGGTTCCCAACCCGGGTGGGCCAGGCGGTAAACCCACCCGGGTTGGAAGTGAACCTCGTTCGGTTGCGCCGGCGTCCGGCCGGCCGCGTTGTGTGGTTGAGAGCCTCCAGCCCGGGCGAGCCAGGCGGACAACCCGCCCGAGCTGGAGGGACACTCGGTTGGTTTGGTCGAAAGGTTCCCGGCCCGGGTGAGCCAGGCGGATAACCCACCCGGGCCGGAAATGAACCTTTACTGGCGGCGCCGACGCTGGGTCGGCTGCTCTGATCGGGGACTTGAGAGCCCTCAACTCGGACGGGCCAGGCGGATAACCCGCCCGAGTTGAAGGGACACTCGGTTGGTCGCGGTTGTGTTCTCGAAGCTCAAGGACCCCCTGCCCGGGCGAGCCAGGCGGAAAACCCGTCCGGGCTGGGGGTGAACCTTGTCTCGTGTGGCGGCTGTGTTGCTGTGCTCGCCGGTTGTGTTGCTAAAAGGTTCCCAACCCGGGCGGGCCAGGCGGTAAACCCGCCCGGGTTGGTGGTGAACCTTGTCTTGTGTGGCGGCCGTGTTGCGGCACTCGCCGGTTGTGATGTTAAAAGGTTCCCAACCCGGGTGAGCCAGGCGGATAACCCACCCGGGCTGGTAGTGAACCTTGTCTCAGTGGTGGCGGCTGCCGATGTGTGGCGCTCGCCAAGTGTGTTGTTAAAAGGTTCCCAACCCGGGTGAGCCAGGCGGATAACCCACCCGGGCTGGTAATGAACCTTGTCTCGGTGGCGGCTGCCGATGCGTGGCGTTCGCCGGTTGTGTTGTTAAAAGGTTCCCAACCCGGGTGAGCCAGGCGGATAACCCACCCGGGTTGGTAATGAACCTTGTCTCGTGTGGCGGCTGCCGATGCGTGGCGCTCGCCGGTTGTGCTGTTAAAAGGTTCCCAACCCGGGTGAGCCAGGCGGATAACCCACCCGGGCTGGTAATGAACCTTGTCTCGTGTGGCGGCTGCCGAAGTGTGGCGCTCGCCAGGTGTGTTGTTAAAAGGTTCCCAACCCGGGTGAGCCAGGCGGATAACCCACCCGGGCTGGTAATGAACCTTGTCTCGTGTGGCGGCTGCCGATGTGTGGTGCTCGCCAGTTGTGTTGTTAAAAGGTTCCCAACCCGGGTGAGCCAGGCGGATAACCCACCCGGGTTGGTAGTGAACCTTGTCTCGTTGCCTGATCGGGTCAGGCGGGTATCAAATCGACTTGTCGAATCCGCTGGGTGTCGATGGTTTCAAGCAAACGTTCGGTCCGACTCGCCCTAGTGGGTCGAGTAGGCCTGCATGCCGTGCTCGCTGATGTCCAGACCCTTCTGCTCGTCCTCGGCGGACACTCGCAGCAGGCCAGCGGCCTTGAGGGCGATGAACAGGGCCAGCATCGTCACGAACGACCAGCCGCAGATGGCCAGCGTGCCGATCAGCTGCGTGGCGAAGCTCGTGGTGCCGTCCTCCAGGTAGCCGTTCGGCAGGATGCCGATGGCCATGCAGCCCCAGATGCCGCACAGGCCGTGCACCGGCCAGGCGCCAACCGGGTCGTCGATCTTGAGCTTGTCGAGCAGCATCACACCGGCGATCACCAGCACACCGGCCACCACGCCGACGATGATCGACTGCCAGTCGCTCATGCAGTCGCAGCAGGCGGTGATGCCGACCAGGCCGCCGAGGATGCCGTTGAGGCCCATCGACAGGTCGGGCTTGCCGAACATGATCCAGCTGATCAGCGTGGCGGTGATGCCGCCGGCGCCGGCCGCCAGGGTGGTGGTCAGGGCACAGTGCAGCATGCCGTCCATGTCGCCGGTTCCCTGGAACGCGAGCATCGAGCCCGGGTTAAAGCCGTACCAGCCGAACCACAGGATGAACACGCCCAGGCCGGCCAGCGTGATGTTGTGGCCGGGGATAGGGACCGACTTGCCGTCGACGTAGCGGCCGATCCGCGGGCCGAGGATCATGGCGCCGGCCAGGCCGGCGAAGCCGCCCACGCCGTGCACCACCGCCGAACCGGCGAAGTCCTGGAAGCCACGCTCGGCGAGCCAGCCGCCGCCCCACTTCCACATGCCGCTGATCGGGTAGATCAGGCCGGTGAGGATAGCGCTGTAGATCAGGTAGCCGCTCACCTTCATGCGGCCGGCCACGGCGCCAGACACGATCGTCGCGGCGGTGGCGGCGAACACGGCCTGGAACAGCCAGTCAACCTCCGGGCTGAACGTGCGGTCGGAGGCCGAATCGTAGCCCTCCAGACCGAACCCGCCGAAGGCGAAGAACTTGCTCTCGAAACCCTCAACACCGTAGGCGCCGGGGTACATGATCCCGAACCCGATGATGAAGAACAGCAGCACGCCGACGCAGATGTCCATCGAGTTCTTGAACAGGATGTTCACCGCGTTCTTGGAGCTGTTGAAGCCCGCCTCGACCATCGCGAAGCCGGCCTGCATCAGGAACACCAGCACGGCGCAGATGAACAGCACCGCGTTGTCGAGGGCGTATCCGACGCCCAGGTCGGCTTCCTCTGCCTCTTCCTCAGCCGCTTCCGCAGTTTCTTCGGCCTCGTCGGCGGTCACCTCAGCTTCTTCAGCGGCCACTTCGGCCTCGCCCTCTTCCTGCGCGAACGCGGCAGGCGTGGCGGTCAGCGTGACGGCGAAGCCCAGCAGCAACAGCGCTGCGAGACTACGCCAAGAAAAGTCGGTAGTCATGAATCAGATGTCCTCGAATTGAAATGAGCGGTCAGAAGGATTTTTCGATACGGGCCAGGGCCGCAACTCGGTTTTCCACCTACGTCCCTGACCCGCCTGGCCCACTAGGGCACAAAGCGGATAGCTAGCTATGTCGCGTCAGCTCAGCAACGAGTGTGCCAGTAGCGCCGGTTTCTTGGCCGCCATTGCCGTAAGTGCCTTGTGCTAGGCGATTTAACAAAATTGAGGTCCCTCCTGCCGGGGGGCTGGATCCGCCGTGACCTCCGGGGCCCGCCGACTTTGCGCGCAGGCCGAGCATGGTTGTTAAGCACCGGTAAGCCGACGCATTGGGTCGATGGTCGGCCCCGACCCGCGCAGCGTGCTGAGCCCGTCAGCCGCTGGGCGTTTGGCCACGGTTCCGCTTGCTTTCGCTCGCAGCACGGTTGGCGTTGATGAGGTGGCCGGGGGGAGGCGGCATTGGCGTTGACGCCCGGCTAGGAGCCAATCGGCCAAGAGCTTCGCAGATGATGCAGACGGCCGCTGCCAGGCAACAGCCTTCCTGTCGGCGTCGCCGGTTTGTGGCTGAAACCGGCCACCCCGCGCGGTCCAATGAAGGGTTGCCAGATTGGCCATCTCTCCAGCGGGCGCCCGATCACCGCGTGGTGCGTTGAGCCGGTCGCGGTGGTGAGGCGGCGGCGACGCCGACGGCGTGTCCGATCCGCACGGACAGAATCGGACAAAACCCCTGCGGCCCTGTTCCCTGGAGGTTGTCGCAATCGCTTAACTCACAACCACTTGCGAGCGAACTGGGCAGAAGTACGCCCCGAGTTTTGTCCCCTCCGCGCGTGTTTTTGGACAAAACGATTCGGACAAGACCTTGCGGGAGCCGCGACGACGCCAGCCGGCCGCGTGAGCTGCCGGATCGATGAGCAGTGATCGTTAACTACGCTTGGACATCGGCAACAAAAAAGACCCCCGGGCGGCGTGCGCCCGGGGGTCGTGAGGGGTCAGGATGTCGGGGGTGTCGGTCTGGGTTGGTCGGTCGCAATCAGTACGTCAGGATGCAGTCGACCCCGAAGGTCGTTTGGTGGTCCGACCCGTCGGCGTAGCCGCCGTCGGTTGGGGTCCAGTCGTAGCGTATCTCGGGCCGGACAATCAGGTTCGAGGTCGGTCGGTAGTTCAGTCCGTAGGTCGTCTCGTAGTAGGAAACTCCGTCGCTCTTCCACCATTCCAGGCGGGTCCCCAGCGCCAGGCAGTCGTTCACGTTGTAAAACAGGTACTGGTTGAGGCCCACCTGATCATCGTTCGTGCCGCCGCCACTCTGGTCGACATAGTCGACGTAGTCGCTCTGCAGCACGTAGTTCAGGTTGTCGGTCAGGGTGAAGTCGAAAACCACGCTGTGCGAGTAGCCGCTGCCGCCGGACGAGCGGGCGCCGAAGTTGCCGATCGTCGAGATGTAGGTCACCGTGACCCCGTCGACGATGTCGCCGCTGAACCCGCCCAGGTAGTTGCTGCCGCCGTCGGTCTGGTCGAAGCCGGTGTCCCAGCCCGCGGTCCAGCCGCCGTACAGCGTCACGCCGTCCAGCCCGCTGTACGTGGCGAGCACGCCAGTGTGGGTGAACGGCTCGCTGTTGAACATCGTGAGGGCGTGGCTGTAGAAGAAGTTGTCCGGGGCGGTCACGACCTCGTAGCCAACCAGCGTGAAGAAGTGGCCGGCGATGAGGGACCAGTCGCCAAAGGCGACCTCGCCGTACAGCTGCGGCATCGCCCAGCCGTAGTCGCCGTGATCGAGCGACGCGTCCCAGCTGCCGAAGTAGCGGGTCCCGGCCCCCGGGTTGCCGAACGCCTGGGTCTTCTGCGCGTCGGTGCCGTACATGACATCGAAGCGGAAGCCGAAGTCCAGCCCGCACGAGCCGTCGGCCACCCGCTCGAAGTAGAGCCACTGCTGCTGCAGGTTCAGCCGGTGCGGCACATCGTTGAACGAGAGCAGCTGGTTGCCGGCGCCCGGCCGCGAGAGTGGCGTGAAGTCGCTGTGGTAGCCGAGCTGGGTCCAGCCGCCCACCTCCATCCAGGGGTCGCAGCCGCACAGCGTCTGGCTGAGCGACCACGGCTCGTCGGAGCAGCCGTTGCGGCTGTGCGGGCAGCAGGCGGCGTTGTCGTCGCACAGCGGGGCGAACGACGGGGCCGGCTCGGCCACGGGCGTCAGCGGCGCCGCCGGGGCGGCAGGGGCCGCCATGGCGGATGGGGGCGCTGGGGTCGGGGTGGGGAGTGCGTCGCTCGGCGACGACTCGTCCGAGTAGTAGTGCTCGTAGTGGAACGACGACGGCCGCACGGACCGCGGCTGCGCGATCTCGTTGGCTACCGCCCCGGCGCCCGACAGGGCGATCAGGCCGGTTGTCACCACGGCGCGCGGCGATGGGAGGGAGGGCATGGCAGGCGGACTCGGAAGGGAGGAAACGGGGGGGCGGCCAGCCGCCCCGGCCCGGTGGGACGCTAGCTGGGGGAGAGTATCGGAAGAGCGGACGCGGCCCATCGCCCCCGGTCCGAGAAGAATGGCCAGATTGGGCCGCCGCGCGTCCGCTAGCGACGCGCAGCGAAGCCGTTCGGGCGGGAAAGACAGCGGCGGTCGCGCCCGTGCGGCCGGTTGGCGCGGTCGTGAGGCGGGCCGGCGCTACGCGCCTGCGCTCATCACGTCGGCGAACAGGGCCTCGACGAACTCGTCGGGCACGAACGGCGCCAGGTCCTCGTGCTTCTCGCCGACGCCGACGTACTTCACCGGCAGCCCGAGCTGCTGGCGGATCGCGACGACCACGCCCCCTTTGGCGGTGCCGTCGAGTTTGGCGAGCACCAGGCCGGTGCAGCCGGCGGCCTCGGCGAAGCTGTTGGCCTGGCTGATGCCGTTCTGGCCGGTGGTGGCGTCGAGCACGAGGAGCGTTTCGTGCGGCGCGCCGGGGACCGGCTTGCCGATCGACTGGCGGATCTTGGTGAGCTCGTCCATCAGGTTGCGCTGCGTCTGCAGGCGGCCGGCCGTGTCGACGATGCAGACGTCGATGCCCTCCTTGGCGGCCTGCTCCGCGGCGCGGTACGCCACGCTCGCCGGGTGGCTCTGGGGCTCGCCGGTGACGATCTGGGCGCCGAGCCGGTCGGCCCAGATGGTGAGCTGCTCCACGGCCGCCGCGCGGAACGTGTCGCCGGCGCCGAGGATCACGCTCTTGCCCTGGCTCTTGAACAGGTGCGTCAGCTTGGCGATGGAGGTGGTCTTGCCGGCGCCGTTTACGCCGCACACCATCACCACGGTCGGGCCGCTGTCGGCGAAGTCGATGGGCGACTCGGGCTGCGCCATCAGCTCCTTCAGCTTGACCTTGAGCGCCGCCACCAGGTCCTCGCGGTGCACCACGCGGGCGCGGAACTGCTTGGCGATCTCGTCGACCAGGGCCTCGACGGAGTCGTAGCCCATGTCGGTCTTGAACAGGATGGCGCGGATCTCTTCGAGGAAGTCGTCGTCGACCAGCCGGCCCTCGCTCTTGAAGAGGTCCCGGATGTCGGTCTTCAGGAGGTCGCCGGTCTTCTTGAGTCCCTTCTTGAAGCGGTCGAATAGAGCCATGAGGAGCGTAGTTTGGTGCGTGGGGTTGGGGTGGGTGGCCGGTCGGCGCCGCGTCCCGCGGCTACTTCTTCAGCTTGTCGAGGATGCCGTTGACGAACTGGGCCGAGTTCTCGCTGCCGAACCGCTTTGCCAGCTCCACCGACTCGTTGATCGCGACCTTGAAGGGGGTGTCGCCGTAAAGGATTTCGAACGCGCCCAGCCGCAGCACGTTGCGGTCGGTGGCGGCCATCCGGCCGATCGACCAGTTCTGGGCGATCCGCTCGATCTCCTGGTCGATCTCGCCCAGGTTGCGGCGGACGCCCAGGATCAGCGTCCTGGCGAACTCCTCCGCCTCGGGGTTGTTGAGCCGGCCGTGGATGAACTCGGTCAGCTCAGCGACCGACGCGCGCGAGTTGTGCTCGTCCTCAAACAGGATCTGGAGAGCGACCTCGCGGCTGCGGCTGCGGACGGACATAGGGGCGGGCGTGGGGACGGGGGGCTGAGGCGGCGCGCCGGTGGGGCGGGCAATCCCCTATTATCGCGTCGGGAGGGCCGCCAGCAAGCCGGCCATGTGGAGGGCCGCCTCGGCGCACTCCGACCCCTTATTCCCTACGTTCCCGCCGGCTCGCTGGATCGCCTGCTCGAGCGTCTCGCAGGTCAGCACGCCGAACAGCACCGGCAGGCTGTGCTCGATGCCGATCCGCATCAGCCCGTCGGTCACGCCGGCGTTGATCCAGTGGTCGTGGACGGTGTCGCCCTTGATCACGGCGCCCAGCGTGAGGATGCCCGCGTAGCGGCAGGTGTCGGCCAGCCGTTGGGTGACCACCGGGATCTCCCAGGCGCCGGGCACCCACGCCACGTCGACGGCGTCGTCGGCCACGCCGCGCTCGGCGAAGGTCGCCAGTGCGCCGTCCAGCAGCTTCTGGGTGATCGACTTGTTCCACTCCGCGACGATGATCGCGAAGCGGCAGTTGTCGGGGGTGTCCACTGGAGTAATGACGTTCATTGGGTTATTGAGGGTGATTGGCCTGACTGATGGCCGATATTAGCACGAAGTCTGTGGGCAACAGACAGTGCTTTGCCTGTCGGTATAGGAAATCCAACCCAGCTGCTTCGAACCCTCGATCTTGATCGAGGTGAATTCCGTAACATTCGAATAGGCCGGTCCGAGCACCCGCGCCCGGCGATTTCTTCCTGATCGTAGTCGCCAACTCGCGAGCCATTGACCTCGGTAGCACCAAGACGTCACCACCAGGCGTCAGCCAGTCAAGGTATGACAGATAGTCAGGGTGGTAGCCTTCCGCGGAGTTGATCCTGTACTCAACCTGCAGCCAGTCGTGCAGGCATTCCCACATGTCGATGGTGTAACCTAGCAGTTCATCGACCGCGGTCGTGGCCTGCAGCGAGCGCCAGACTGGTAGTGCTGGGTCGAGTAACAGCAGTTCGCCTTCTGAAATAACAAACGACTGGATAGTTGCTTCGGCGGCTAGCTCCTTTTTTTCACGCTGCCTCTCGAGGTGGGCAAACCCCCTCCCCCTGCCGGGGCGGGGGGCCTGAAGTTCGCTTGCGACTCAATCCGCAATCCGAAATCTGAAATCTAGAATCGCTAGGCTTCCTTCATGCTCATCAGGAACTCGGCGTTGCTGCCGGTCTTGAGGAGCCGCTTGGTGAGCATGTCCATCGCGTCGGCGGGCGCCAGCTCGTTGAGGACCCGACGCAGCAGGCAGACGCGGCGGTACTCTTCGGGGTCCATCAGCATCTCCTCGCGGCGGGTGCCGGAGCGGTTGATGTCGATGGCGGGCCAGATCCGCTTGTCGACCAGCGCGCGGTCGAGCATGATCTCCTGGTTGCCGGTGCCCTTGAACTCTTCGAAGATCACCTCGTCCATGCGGCTGCCGGTGTCGACCAGCGCGGTGGCCACGATCGTCAGCGAGCCCCCCTCCTCCACCTTGCGGGCGGAGCCGAAGAACCGCTTGGGGCGTTGCATGGCGTTGGCGTCGATGCCGCCGGAGAGGACCTTGCCGCTGGACGGGCACTCGGAGTTCCACGCCCGGGCCAGGCGGGTGATGCTGTCCAGGAAGATCACGACGTCCTTGCCGTATTCCACCATCCGCTTGGCCTTCTCGATGACCATCTCGCTCACCTGCACGTGGCGGGCGGCGGGCTCGTCGAAGGTGCTGCTGATGACCTCGCAGTTGGCGCCCTTTACCTCCCGCTCCATGTCCGTGACCTCCTCGGGCCGCTCGTCGATGAGCAGCATGATCACGTAGGCGTCGGGGTAGTTGGTGAGCACGGCGCGGGCCATCTTCTGCATCAGGATCGTCTTGCCGGCGCGGGGCGGGCTGACGATCAGGCCACGCTGGCCGAAGCCGATCGGCACGATCATGTCGACCACCCGCATGTCCACCTCCTCGGGGGTGGTCTCCATGCGGATCCGCTCGTCCGGGTGGCACGCGGTGAGGTCGTCGAACGAGACCTTCCGCGACAGCAGGTTGGGGTCCTGGTCGTTGATGGTCTCGACCCGCAGCAGCGCGAAGTAACGCTCGTTCTCCTTCGGCGGGCGGATGGCGCCGGCCACCGTGTTGCCGTTGCGGAGGTTGAAGCGGCGGATCTGGCTCGGCGACACGTAGATGTCGTCCGGGCAGGACAGGTAGTGGTAGTCGGGGCTGCGGAGGAAGCCGAACCCGTCCGGCAGGATCTCCAGGGTGCCCTCGCCGAACATCAGGCCGTTGAGCCGCACACGCGACTTGAGGATCTTGAAGATCAGCTCCTGCTTCTTTAGGCCCGCGCAGTCCTCGATGCCCTCGGCCTTGGCCACCTCGAGCAGGGCCGGCATGGTCTGCTTCTGCAGCTCGGCGACGTGGATGTTGCTGTCGAGCTCCTTGGCCTTGCCCAGGGCCGGGCCGGCGCGGCGGACCCGCTCGGCGGCCTTGTCGAGCTCTTCGGCCAGGGAGAGGGGCTCTTCGCGGTCGAGGCGGCGGAGCAGTTCCTGGTCGATGTAACGGCTGTTGTCGCTGCCTCCGCTGGTGGTGCGGTGGGGGCGGCGGTGGTGGGGCGGGCGCACGCCGTTACGCGGCCCGCGATTGCTGGCGTCAGCCATGATCGAGTTTTTCACTCCTGAATAGGAAGAGTGGAGGGGGCCGGCGTGTGAGACCGCCGGCCGGTAGGTGGGGGGAGGGTCAGGGGAGTCTGAGCTGCTTGTCGCCCGCCGCCAGGCCAGAATAGGCCCGTCCGATCAGTTCGCTCAGGTCGCCACTGGTAGGCCTAGTATGACAAAAATGGTCGCGTTGGGGATGTTAATTTTGGGGATTGTCCCAAAGGAAGTGTGTATCCGAGCTGCGGATTAGCGAAGGCGCCGCTAGCCGCTGACGCGCGGAGCGACCTCATTGCACCAGAAGGCCTCTACGCTGCGGCGGAGGGACTCTAGGTCCCCGTCGTTGTCGATGACGTGGTCGGCGCGCAGCCGCTTCTCTGCTATCGGCAGCTGCGCCGCTTCCCGTTGAGCCAACTCGCCGGAGCCCCATCCCCGCTGGGCCGCCCGGGCCCGCCGCTGGTCGGGGTCGGAATCGACAAACAGGACCAGGTCGCAGTCGGCGGCCCAACCGGCCTCGATCAGCAGCGGGATGTCGAGCACCGCCACGGACCCGCCGGACGCGGCGTGGTCTGCAATCGCCTGCTTCAGCTTTGCACGGACGCGGGGGTGCACGAGCTGTTCCAGGAACCGGCGTTCGTCGGCCGCGTCGGGCGAGTCGTCGAACACCCGCTTGGCTACCTGCCGGCGGTCGAGAGCCCCGTCCGCGTCGAGGATTCCAGGCCCCCAGCGCTCGGACAGCTGGGCGAGCACGCCCGGCTCGGCGAGCGCCTGGTGAGCGAACCGGTCGGCGTCCAGCACCACCGCGCCCTCCTCCGCCAGCAACTGGGCGACGGTCGATTTGCCGCTGGCGATGCCGCCGATGAGGCCAATAGTGAGCAAGGCAGTCTTCTGGGGTCTACAGGCGACCAATAAACGCAGAGCCAACGAGGCAGGCGATCCCTCCGCCGGCGATGAAACCCGTCAAGGCTGCCGCCCGATCGATAGGCGGCAGCTTACTCCATCGGGTCAAGGCAATGAAGCTTGCCACCGCGCCGACCACCGCAAAGCAGACGACGGCAACTCCGAGCGACTCTCCGGCTGCATCCCTTTGAGGAGGTCCGGCAATCAACAGGCACAGGATCAGAATACTGGCGGTCGACGCAACCCCACCCAGCCAGGCCAACGCTCGCACGCTGGGTGAGACCCCCGTCGCGACCCCTTCAGGGGATTCTGACTGAGGCGATCGGTAGGGGTTCTCATCGGCAGGCATCTTTCTTACCCGCGGAGGCGCCGCTATCCCACCAGAGCGCTCTCGATGGCAAGCCCGGGCCCGAAGCCCAGCATCACGGTGGGGCCGGCGCCGTGGCTCTGCAGCAGCTCCTTGAGCACGAACAGCACCGTCGGCGACGACATGTTGCCGTACTTGCTGAGCGTCGCCCGCGACGCCGAGAGCGCGCTCGGCGGGAGCTTGAGGGCCGACTCGCAGGCCTCGAGGATCTTGGGCCCACCCGGGTGGACCGCCCAGTTTTGCACGTCGGCGACCGTCAGGTCGTGGCGGGCGAGCCACTCGTCCATGCGGGGCGGAAGCGTCTGGTCGATCAGGCCGGGGACCTCCGGCGAGAGGGTCATCTCGAAGCCGTGGTCGCCGATGTTCCAGGTCATCGCGTCGGCGGAGTTGTCCGCGACGTGCGACCAGTTGTCCCGGATCGGGAGCCCGCCGCCGGAAGCGGCATCGGCGCCGCGGACCACCAGGGCGGCCGCACCGTCGGCGAACAGCGAATTCGACACAATCCGCTGCGGCGTCCAGTCGTACTGGTAGTGCAGGCTGCAGAGCTCCACCGCCACCAGCAGCACCGTGGCGGACGGGTCGGCTTCCGCCAGCGACCGCGCCACGCGGAGGCCGTTGAGCGCCCCGTGGCAGCCCATGAATCCGACGTGCGTCCGCCCCACCCCCGCGGCCAGCGGCAGGCCTTGGATGAGCGAGATGTCGAAGCCCGGCGCGTAGAAGCCGCTGCACGAGACCGTGACGAGCTGGGTGACCTGTTCGGCCGCGACGCCGGCGTCGGCCAGGGCGTCGGCGGCGGCCCGATGGGCCAGCACGCTGGCGTTCGCGCGGTAGGACTCCATCCGGTCGGCAGTCGACGGGCCGTTGGGGTTCTGTTCGCTGGCGGGGTCGTAGTACGACTGTCGCACCGGCTCGCCAACCTCGGACGAGGCCTCAAGCAGGACGCTGTGGCGGGACATGATGCCGGCGTTCTGGTAGACGCGCTCGGCAAAGTTCCGCTGGCCATTGGTGGCGCGCGAGGTGGCGAGCGCGTGCTGTGTGGCGTCCGCTTGCGTGACCCAGTGTTCGGGCAGGGCCAGCCCGATCCCGTCTATCGATGCGCCCATCCGGCGATCTCCTTGTGGCGCTCCGCTGGGGAGCTGATTCGTTGCGCTGCGCGAACGCCGAGAGAAGGCCAACGCTCTACCAGACGCATGGCCAGACGGGTGAGTCGAGGTCGTCTAAGCAGCCAGGCTAGGCGTGAGCAGGCCCGCTGACGCGACCGCACGGCCCTAGTGTAGGTCGATTGCCACTGCGAGGCTATCCTCGGAGACCACCGGTCGATGGCCTGGTCGGCAATCCGGCCTGCCAGCAGGCTCCCCTCCAGGGCGGCGGCCATGCCCTCCCCGGTGAAGGGCTCGACGTAGCCGGCGGCGTCGCCCACCAGCAGCAGCCGGTGGGCCGCCACCGTGCCGCAACGCTGGGAAAGCGGCCGGGTGCCGCGCCAGGACGCTTGATCGAGGGCCTCTTCGGGGGCGACCCCAGCCTGTTTGAGGATGCCGGCGATGACCTTGGCCGGTTTCGCGCCATCGGTGAGCGCTCGGCGATCAATCGCCGCGGCCACGCTGATGCGTCCTTCTTCGCAGAGGGAAAAGCCGACGTATCCGTCACGTCCTACCACCATCTGCAACGCATCGGCGGGGCGCAGTTTATGCAGTGCTGAAGCGGGCAGCACGGCGCCAAGGCCGATCCTTGAGTTGTTGGACACCTGCGGCTGCATCTCCCGCAGGTCTGTCAGCGACGGGCGGCCGAGGCCATCGCATGCCAGCACGACACGGGCTTGAACGGTCGTGGCGTTAAGTGCGTGCGGGGATCCTATCCGCACGCCGCGAGTGTCGCCGTCATTGGCCGGTAGAACCTGAGCGGGCGCGGCGTCCACGAACCGGACCCCCACGCCCACAGCCGCGTCGACCAACAGCTGGTCGATTGTCTGGCGTGTGACGGCCAGGCCTTGGGGGATCGGCATCACGAGGCTGCGGCCGCCGGCGTGCAGCTGCATCCGCTCGTAGGGAGCGGCGCCCGCTTCCTCGAGCAGGCCACCGAGCCCTAGCTGCTGAAACACGTCAATTGCCCGCGCGTTCAGGCACCCGCCGCAGACCTTGCCACGTGGGAACGGCTTGGCTTCGACCAGCAGCACACGGCGTCCCCGCTGGGCGAGCTGGTAGCTAGCCGCCGCTCCGGCAAGGCCCGCGCCGATGACTACCGCGTCCCAGACGCCTTGCAGGTCAAGATCGGCAAGCGGGGGGCGGGTGGTCACGTGGGTCGCCAAGTCATCAGGTACCGTTGGGGCCAGTGTCGCTGGTAGGCCGCACCGTCGAGCCCGGCCTGCGCGGCCAGGCCGAGCGCCTCGTCGGGGCGGAAGGCGCCCTCGACCGACACCGGTCCGTCGTTGTGAACCACCGGGCAGCGCGAAAGCAGCCGGCACCCGGTCCAGGCCAGCCAGTAGCCGGCCCGCGAGCGGACCAGGTCGTCCACCATGACGGCGGACGTGCACGCCGCCGCCATCCGGCGGAGCAGCGTGACCGCTTCGGTGTCGGTCAGGTGGTGCAGAAAGAGCGTGCAGAGCACGACGTCGTAGCTCTTCGGGAAGGCGGCTCTGATGGCGTCGTGCTGGTAGAAGGTTGTGGGACTGTCGATCCGCTCGGCGAGGTCACGTGCTTGGCTGATCGCCTGCGGGCTGATGTCACACCCCTCCACCGTCAGCCGAACGCCGCCGCGTAGCGGACGCGCTGCCAGCGTGCGGGCCAGATCGCCACTGCCGCAGGCCACGTCCAGCACGCTGAGACTGCTCACGCCGCGGCGGTTGGCTACTTGGGCCAACGCCCGCCTCAGGAATCGAGATGTCTGACTCCAGGCGTTGATGCGCCGCAGCCCCGCGTGCGCCGCGGTGTGAAGGTCTTCGTCGATCGACGGGTCATCAAGCCACTCGGGCGAAAGCACTCGCTGCATGTTGGGGTCTTGGCGCCTTGCTGTGGTTCACGGTGCGAACCTCCACTGTCAGCGACCGGCGTGGAGGAGTCAAGCTGATGGCGGCGGTCAGCACTCGGCCCAGTTGTCGCCGATTGCAAGGTCGACCCGCAGCGGCACACGCAGGCTCATCACCCCCTCCATCTCCTCGCGGACGAGGGCCGAGAGCTGGTCGAGCTCGGTTTCGGGGGCGTCGAACACCAGTTCGTCGTGGATCTGGAGGATCAGTTTGGACTTTAGGTTCTCGGACTTCATCCGCCGGTAGACCGCCAGCATGGCCAGCTTGATGAGATCGGCCGCGGTGCCCTGGATTACTGTGTTCACGGCGGTCCGTTCGGGCAGGTTGAGCTGCAGCGGCGCGGGGCGGTCGTCGAACAGCTGGCCCTTGGGCGGTTCGAACTTACGCACGCCGGAGATCGCCCGGCGGCGTCCGAGCAGCGTTTCGACGTGGCCCTGCTCGCGGCAGGCGTCGAGCGTCTGGTGCATGAACTCGCCCACGCCCGGGTACCGGGCGAAGTATTCGTTGATGAAGCGGGCGGCCTCGTCTTTGGGGATGCCGAGCGACTTGGCGAGCCCGAAAGCGCTCTGGCCGTAGATGATGCCGAAGTTGACCGCCTTGGCGCCGCGGCGCATCTCGCTGGTGACGTCATCTAGGTCAACGCCATTCACCTGGCTGGCGACCAGGGTGTGGATGTCCTGGTCCTCACGGAACGCGCGGCTGAGGGTCTCGTCCTCGGTGAAGTGGGCCAGCACCCGCAACTCGATCTGCGAGTAGTCCGCGGTGAGCAGCTTCCAGCCGGGCTCGCCGGCGGTGAACGCCGAACGGATCTCGCGCCCCTCGGCCGTGCGGATCGGGATGTTCTGCAGGTTGGGGTCG